TTATTGTCGGAAATTTCGACAGTAATGAATTTCTACAAGCTGTTTCAGCGGTAGGGGACTTTATATTATATTAATTAATATAGTCTATGCATAAACAAACTGTAGTGGGGTTTTGCCACACGAGCCTTCGTTATTGAGAAAATTAATAATAAATTTTTTTGGTGGGCAGGATGAGACATAATTTGAAACATTTAAGACAAGATCGGTGTGGCCGAGTTGATTAAAGCGAGTATCTCGCAATCTGGAAGTCGGCAGTTCTCTACTCCCCTCTAGTGATGGGCAGTCGAGCCGAGTAGCTCGAGCTGTATCGGAAGCTTTCGATTCACCGCCTCGGCTCGGCTGGTCAAGCGAGCCGAAATGACAGTTGTATGAGGTGACAACGAAGACACGAGGCTCTGGCACGCGAAGCCTCGGCGCGTAGAGTTATCTTATAATAACATCTCGTCTCACCGAGGCCCGTCGCCAGCGTTTCTTAGGGTGGAACGATGATGTTAACCGGTATCGATACGGCTCCAGCCGCTGTAAGACAAGGGGTAGCCCCGCGGGTGGCACGATTCATAGGCTCACAGCCGCGATGACCCTCGTGTCGCCCGCGGGGCAACCGGGCCGAGGGTGTGGTACTGGGGGTACCACCTCCTTTCGCGGTCGGCCCACGAGAAGACAGCGTCGAGAGGTGACCCCTCGACGCTCTAGGTAAGTGGTGGAGGGACGGCATCACAGTCGTCCCGGTGGGGAGGAGCAATCGATCCTCCTCCAGAGAAGAGCCCCTCCCTTAAACACCTATAGGGGAGGGCAATGGGCGGGGCTGGCCGCGGTCATGTCGAGCGTTCCCGCTGCCAGCCCTACACCCGGGGGTAACCGGAGGGTTTTAGTGGATGAAACCCCATATTAGCCGTCTCCACCCCCAGCGGAGCATATTTATATAAAATTGTTTTTGTAAATTTACAGTTCCCATTTGCATTTCCTTTCACAATAAGATAACAAAATGATAACCTAAGGATATCTGAATGTTATCGTTCACGATACCTAAATTTAAAAGATATCTTTGCAATATCCTTTCGATGCTACTAGTTATTTTAAAATTATTGAGACCGATACCATAGAATTATCTTTTCGATATCTGAAGGAGATATCTAATTGATATCTACAAGATAAGTAAAAGATGCCTAAAAGGTGCACCTTCGATATCTATTCGGAGGCCGAACAGATATCTTTCCAGACAGGATTACAGATAGTACACCCACGAGCAAACTCTGCTTCCACTAGGAGAAAAAATGATGTAGGATAAGGGCGTCCTAACACTTGGTAAATTTATTTCAAGTACTGAAATAAATGTTAAATTGAATGTTAATTTGACATAAATTTCAATAATTCCCGAGACTAAGTGATAGAAAGCCCTTTTCCTACAGTACTTTTTCCCCTAGCGGAAACCGAGTTTGCTCACGAGGATACTTATTGATTATGTTGAGACGGAAATTGGTGAAATTAATTACTCAACTTTAATATAATTATAATTTAAGAATATGTATGTAACTTTTAATAAGATGAAATTGTATACAATTTTACTAGTTAATATAATATAGGTCTATTCGGTTAGGCTTCCGGAATACATTGATAACATTTCCTTTTTAGTTACTCAGATAATACAACATTTCTTTGTTCCTCGAGTGAATCATGGTCATGCCATGAAAAGTTATTAATTACATGTATGACTCCACACAACTGTAAGAACAGAATGCAACATTTATAATATTTCAAATTACACGCTTTCCAAGCTTATGCCGTTTGCCGTTAGGGATACAATAGACAAAAATGGACGTTTATACTCAAGGATCCTAACAGTTAATTTTTAAAATAACGATATATCGATAGGCAAATATCGATATTTACAGTACCGATAAATATTGCGCATCACTAGAGCACTCTATTTCCTCTCTGTGTTGTTTTGAGGTTATGTTTATTTTTACACTATGAACCTGCACGTGTTGAGTGTAACCATAGACGTATAATGTAACTTAACTTAAGCTGATGTGTTTTGTCAGAAAAATGGCTTTACAGAGAAGGAAGAAAAGCTTGGCAGATAAAATAAGCTGTTTAGTTACTGCTGCACCAACAAATTTTGATTCCGACGCTGATTCTGAAGATACAAAAGCTAAAGTAGTTGATCGTTATGACGAAAGTGATAATTCTGATAGCAGTTTTCGAATTTCAACGATAAGGAGAGAAAACGTCGTTCATTTGGATCAGCTGGATGAAAGGTGAATACAAAATTTTGAGATTCATAGTTTCATGTATTCCTGTAGACTTATTAATGATATAATTTATTACGTCATAGATACAAAGGCAAAAAGGTCTCAAGAAAGGATATATATTTTGATGATGATGACTCCCTTAATACATCAGAAAGTGAAAAAGAAGAAGAAAAAATGAGTAATGAGGCAGAGAAAGAAGGAAGTAACAATGATATAAACAATGAGAATGAAGACTATAATGAGGACAGTGATTACAGTGAAGATAATGATAGTATTGAGAATGAAGAGAATGACAATGAAAGTGGAAATTCTGATTTAGAAGAAGAAAGTTCTTATAAGGTGGGTTCTAATGAAGAACAGAAAGTACATTTTCAGTCCATATCACACGTAAATCTCAGAACAGACATTGAGAAAGGTAATTGTATTCGAAACCAATTGAGACTTTGGGAAAGTTTATTAGAAGTTAGGATTAAATTACAAAAATGTCTTGTTACCAGTAATCAAATGCCTCAACATGATGTGTATAAAAACATAAAGGGAAATTTGGAATATATGAAAAAAGGGGATGAAGGTAGAAACAAGTTAAAGATGTTATTAAATAATATGTTACTCTTACAAACTGTTCTCTTAAAGCAATATCCTGAAACAAAGGATTTATCTACACAAAGTAGAAAGAGGAAGGCAGATGAAAGTATAGATAATACAATGACAAATGCAGATGATCCAATGGATGAAGAAATTCCATCAGATACAGAGGATGAAAATGAGAAGGATGACAAATTGATCTTAGACGATGATACAAAAAATAGTACTACGCATATGTTTGCCAAGAAATTGAAACTTAGCAATTATGAAAAAATAATAAATGAAAATCATAAATTATATAAAGATTACAGAGATTCTGTGATACAAAAGTGGAATGACAAAACAAAAATTGCTAGTGGTAAATTAAACAAGGGTATGAATCAAACTACATTGGCACAAATTGAGTTTGCTTTAAGTGACAAAGAAAAGCTATGCAAAAGAACTCAATTGAAACGTTCAGAATACAAAATTGTTGGCAATGTAGAGACAACTGAAAACAATGAGGAAAAAAGGGTTCAAGAATTCGATTCAGAAATCTATGATGATGACGACTTTTATCATCAGCTGCTAAGAGATTTAATTGAACACAAATCTGCTGATATCACAGATCCCATTCAACTTAGTAAACAGTGGGTTCAATTACAAAATATGAGAAGTAAAATGAAGAGGAAAATAGATACACGAGCTACCAAGGGTAGAAGAATGAGGTACAATGTACATAATAAATTAGTTAACTTTATGGCTCCTATCACAGTAAATGATACATGGTTGGATCAAGCAAAAGACGAATTGTACAATTCTCTGTTTGGTAAAACTACATCGAAAAATGAGCAACACGTTCATTAACACTAGAATAATTAATACAACTTTATTTAATTTTGTACATTTTAATAAAAGTATTTTATAAAATGTGTACAGATTAGAAAGATAAATATGAACAGATACTGTACAGTAGGAAATACATGATATATATATGTATAAAATGTCTATATTATTATTAGTTTCTTATTTCATTTTTATACTACGAATGTTTATTCAAACTTCATAGTATCTTTTTAAAAAACTAAAATCGAAGGAAAAGTTGTTTCATCGATAAAAAAATTTAATTAATAGAACATAAAATTAAAAATTTCATTAATGCACTTGTTTTATTACACATTATACATCTATAAAATTGGAAAATTATTTCATATCTATGAGCATGAGTGCGAGTTACATTGTTTGTGATTAGAGATGGCGTGCAGAATCACTAACGGTGATTTATCACAGTGATCGCCGAATCACGATCACGGTCGTGATCTAACTTCATTTACGACCGTGACTGCGATATTTTTATCTTGGGTGAATTTGCTTACTGCGATCGTAAGTCCTTGATCTTTAAACAGAAAAACGTATTCAATATCATTTTACGATGAATTACATTACTATTTGTGTTTGTAAAAATCAGTAGAAAAAACAAGAACTTCTAAAAAAATGATTTGCTAGGTAACATGTAAATTATAATTTATAATCATTAATTTATTCATTATTCTTCATTGTTTCTAATTATTCCTTCACTTTATACGATATAACTCGAATTTTTGTTTCGATGTCGTTAATATAAAATATACAAATTATGTGTCGCGTGTAAAGAACTGTTAGGTTTCTCCACCAATCAGAAACGATCACGAGAAATCACGAATCACTGTAAAAAATCACCGTGATTGGGAATGAACGTGATCGAATCACGAGTGATTCACAAGTAGCAGTTCACGCCATCTCTGGTGGCTATATGTATATAGGGGAAACAATGTAGGCCTAAGCAGGCACCCCTGTCTTATCCCTATTTTTATCAAAAATTCCTTTCTTTCCTTTTCATTCATTCTTACCTTACTTCTTGTTTCTCTATAAATTTCTTTAATTCGGTCCCTTAGCCTTTTTGAAATTCCATTTTTTATCATCAATAATAAATGATATGTTGCATCCAAAAAAAAACATGGCCAACAATTTATTAATTTCTTCGGCATTAAAGTCGCCTTGTTCTAGATTTTTTAAAAACAATGAAAAAATTATAATTTTAATAATTTTACACGTTTTGTAAACAGAATATAAAAATTCTTTGCATAAGTGAGATGGAATTTCTGTACTCCTTGTCAATAATATAATTAGTAAATTGAAAATTTGATCTTCCACTGTTTGCTATTATTGTTGGAACATAAAATACGCAATAATAGTAACTTTAATGCTTAATAATAGAAAACAACTCAAAAGCATCCAAAATTTCACTTGAAATAGTTCTTTTAAAATTTATTTTTTTATGTTACAATACTTTAGGTTATCATAAAATGGATTTCTTTTATGGCTTCGGTTGTGTTAAAATGACGTTACTTGTGTAATTTCCACGTAATGTAAATAAATTGGTTTTATGGGGATTTACCCATCACTGGTCACGAGTCATATATGTGTAGTACTATCTGGGAACTGCTGTCTCAATAGTATGCAAAATAATGAAAGTAAAAGACTTGATAAAGATTTATGCAAATATCTGTAGCATTTATGGTATACAATAATTAAATTCATCAGTATGTATTTATATGTACATATATATTCTAAATAGTCTCACAAAAGTGTTTTCGTATAGGACACTCTAAATATACAAGGTGTAACAAAAATATTGCAGGTCCTCGAAATGGGACACTCGGGAGGCGATTTGGAATAAGTTTTTCCTTAGCAAAACTTTTATCCGAGGCTTTGTTAACGAGATATTAACGAAAAACCCTAACCAATCAGAGCACGAGTCTGTCGACTGAGTTCCCGTGGTAACGTTGGCTACGCGCTACGATTGGTATTTTTTGTAAAGAAAAAGTTGTTTCAAATCATTCCAGGAACCACGGGTGTGCAACTCAGAGGTTTTTCTTGGTCGATTTGCAGCGCCATTGGTGATGTGACTCTGTACTAAAACGAGTGCCGGATATCCGGGACGCGTTTGAATTTCGGAACGATTTATAATAGACGAGACAGTGAATGACTGGCGGCTACTATATGAGATCCTGTATAATAAATTTGAGTTATAATAAATTTGATATTAGGTGTTCGCAATTT